TGAGGGTTGGTGCCATCCAAAGTTTCACACGCTTCCCCATGGTGTCTTCGTCCTCTTTTGCCAGAGGCCATGTTGTGTGACCACATATGTGTGCTGGGTTCCTTCTCTGACCTTCGAAAACAGCCAACTTGGTAAATAAGACCAAACTAACATCTTTTAGAGCATTTAAGATATCTGGGCAAATCTCTTCCACCCTGACTTTTGTTCCTTCTCTCTTCAGATTTATTTTAAAAAAAATCTGCCTGCACAATTAGCAAACTTCACTGGCGCAGGTTGATTTGCAAATGCAGTTTCATTTCATTTCTGGTCCTTTTCAATCCCCTTTCTGGAGAACTCTGGACAACCAGGGTTCGAATCCCCGCTCAGCCATGGAAACTCACTTGGGGATCGGATCAGGTAAAACCACTCCTTAAATATCCCACTTCCCTCAAAAGCCTTATTTAGGGTAACTAGAAGTCGGTTCCGACACCTCCCTTAACAAATGTGATTCCCATCACTCCTTTCCTTTTATATTCATCACAACCTTGTGCTAATAATCAAGTTGAAAGAGAAGCCGTTAGCCTGAAATCGCTCAATGATCGGCTGTTGCCCAATAAGACTTTTGAAGTTCATGCCAGGTCAACCCTCTAAGCATCTCACCCTAATTGATGCCTGCTCTTGCCATCACCATGAACAACTCCCTGGAAACTTATCAAACTTTAATCAAAGCTTCTTAGGACATCCATTATTTAGCATTTAGCTCCCTCTGTAAAAGCAGGAAGAACGATTTACTCCCAGGAGGCTCTACGCCTCTGCGGGCACATTCATCTTGGTAGGTGTGCAGGTGTGCCAGGCCTATTTAACAAACGCATCTCCGCGTTTTGCCACCTGCTCTTTTTCAGATTTTTATTCTGCACGGCCAGAGATCTTAACAGTGCGCAGTAGGACACCCTGTCTGCAGGATCAGTATTCGCTGACTTGTTTATTATCTGCCTGGAAATATTAAATTTAAAAAACCCATAAATATGGATTATTTTCCACAGTGAATTTACCAGAACTGGCCACTAGAAGGAGCCAAAGACCACGCAGTGTATACCATTTGATATGTTTTCAGCAGATGCCAGGGTGCTACTGTATACAGTGGTGCCTCGCTTAACGATTGCTTCGTACAACGAAAAATTCACTTAATGATGGCTTTTTCAGAGCAATCTTATGCTTCACTTAACGATTTTCCCTATGGGCGATTTTCACTTAACGATTTCGGGACCATGCTTCACTTAACGATGACAGTTTTAGGTCCCCTTGTTTCGCTTAACTTTTTTTTACAGCCCCGTTTTTACTATTTTTTAAAATATTCTAAAATGTTTAAAAATGTTTATAATGCTTGGAATCATTAGTGCACCTAATGAAACCTTCGTTAACTTAATTTGGCTTTGTTTTGAGTCTTTTTGAATTTTTTGTGATTTTTCCCCCCCACTGAAATAGGCTTCAATGCATTTCAATGGGTTTCGCTTAACGTTTTTTCCTATGGGGATTTTCGCTTAAGGATGGTAATCCGTTCCAGTTGGAACGGATTATCCAGTTTTCAATGCATCTCTATGGGAAATGGTGTTTCGCTTAACAATGTTTTCACATAGCGATTTTTTTTTTGAACCAATTAAAATCGTTAAGCGAGGCACCACTGTATAAGGGCTGCATATTCAGCTATAGTCAGTATAAAAACGAAAACTTTGCTACCTGTGTCCCAAACAGGAAAACTCTTTTTTTTTTTGCAGAAACAACCTTATGGATGATGTGCAGGGAGCCTAACCCTGCGTGCCTGACCCACAGCCAATACGGTCTCCCACCTTTTAAAGGATCCTCTTCCTGGGATAGCGAGAGGTCTCAAATCCAAGCTGTGGGTCTTGCATCTCTTTTGCAACCGATGCCCAAGATGGCTGGCCATTCCAGTATAAAACTTTATACCTGCCAGGATCTCGATAACTTGGGTTTTCAGTTGCCATCCTGCCACGCCGCAGGCTGTCCCAAAATCTCTAATCCGTCTTGCACCTTGATGCCTCAACATTGTCTTCCAGGAAATAATATTTTTCAATGTGGTTTGAGGTGCCCCAGAGTTATGGCTCACACAGATGCATCTCGCTGCATGCGCATGAATATTAAGGTGCTGCCATCTTCTTGACCTGCACTTGACACATTCCTTAGTGCACGTTAGAAAACAATTATGCCTTCAAAGTAGAAAGCATAATGGAAGACATGTCCTTCTTTACTTTTCATCACAGAATCCGACGTAGATGGTGCCTCTCCACCACTTGTTTTGTGTGCAAGTGGAAGCGTTACAAGTCACACAAAGTCTTTGGATTTTGCCCAATATTCTCAGTTTTTTTTTAAAAAAATGTTTGACTTATTATGTGTTAATTCTATCTTTCTTAATATTTTGAGCCACCCCTGATGGGGGAGAATGGTGGCCTGTAAAACAAGCACACAAGCATCAGTGCTTGCTTCCGAAATTTTCTTCCAAATCCCCGTAGGATTCAGAATTCTCGATTTCTATCGGACGAAGAGGCCTCAGCAGTCCAAGAATATTCTGGAGGAAGAAGATAAAGTAACATGAGGGTGTCCCTCGGGAGTGAGAGAGAGGTCAGAGCAGGAGGAGAACAGAAGAGAAACTTGATCTGCCCAGTCGTAGCTTAATTTAGTGCCCGGGGAAGGGTCCCTGCCGGTCTCCGTTTGGGCTCTCGGCCACATCAGCAGGAAAGACCAAATCAGCCGCGAGGATTTTGCTGTAGGAAACGACAGGACCCACACACAAAAAAGTAGGGCGCATGCAAGCTGGGCGTTCCTGTCTCTTCCACCGGTCCCATTTCTGAGCTCCACACTGGCTTTGGATGCTTTGTTCAAACATTTCTGGGCACGGCGCAAGGCTGTGCAGACGGTTCCCCCAAAGCTGCCAGGAGGATGTAGGACTTCACCAGCTCGGTGGGTACAATCTGAAGGAATAGTTCAAATGCAGCGGCTGTCAATGCAGTCATCGGGATGCGAAGGAGTCTGATAGCACGGTGGTTAAACTGCAGCACTGCAGGCTCTGCTCAGGACTTGAATTTGATCCCCAACGGGCTCAGGGAACTGGCTCAATACTGCCTCGGCTTTTCATCCTTCCGAGGTCAGTAAATGGAATTCCCGGCTCACGGTGCGGGCGTTTGTGTGCACTGCGTAGCCTGCATCATAATGTTGTAAACTGCCCAGGGAGTACTTGAAATGCGATGGGGTGGGATATAAGCAGCACGCTTTGCTTTATGTCCAAGAGCTGCACCATCAGAATGGAGATACTGCCAACCGACCCTAGCAGAAGGGAGCTTTGTCGTTTAGTCGTGCCCGACTCTTCGTGACCCCCATAGACCAGAGCACGCCAGGCCCTCCTGTCTTCCATGGCCTCCCGTAGTTGGGTCGAAGCAGAAAGGGGGCAGTAGACACCTAATGGGCTCTAGGTGCGGTTTCTTCACCTAAAGCAACTATCCTCAGTATGATACCCTCCAGACGCGATGGACAACAACTCCTATTATCCCCAGCCACCAAGGGATAATTCCAAGTTAAGGACAAGGAACAACAGGCTTCAAGCTCTATAGACCGCAGGCTTGACTCCCCGTTTGGAGAGATTTTAACTCCCTGCCTCATCATGTGTTCCCCAGTGTGTGCAGTGGATAGAGTGACAGACTAGGGCCTGGGTTCGAATCGCTGCTCAGCTATGGAAACTCACTGGGGGGGAGTGGAATTGGTAAAACCCCTCCTTAAAGGTCTCACCTACCTTGAAAGCCCATCAGTGTAGAGTGGCAACTAAGTTTTGACAAACGTTGCCAACTTCACTGACCCCAAATTGGCTTCTATGGGGGGAAATGACACAAAATGCGTGCAAATGCTTGCAACCGATGCTTTTCTGCCTATTTTGTTCTTTGACAGAGAAAAAAAGGGAAATGAGTGCTTAATCCTCCATTACCAGTTTCCCTCTTTCCTCAAGGTCATCTCATAAAAGCTGCTTCTCATCCCATTGATTTCCATTCTCTCTGTTGGTTTGACACCGCCCAGAGCCACAGAGGCCTCACATAGATTTTCTCTTCAACGTGTGCTCTCCAGGGCCACTTTGACAGCCATCTCAAAGAGCCATCGTGTTTTTCAAAATACGGCAATCCCAAGGCCTTCACCAAGCGCAAAGCCTGGGGTTTGTCCTGATTGTCTAACGTGCCAAAAAGAATGCATGCCTTACCACCGGACCAGAAAGGAATGGGACAGCTCTCAAAAGGAAAGGGTGGCTCTGTCTAAGCAGAACCACAAGTGGACCTGGCCTTTTCTTTTGATCCAAACTGTGCCCTCGGTGAGCTATATCCCCTATTTATATGCCGGTGTGGACAGGCCTTAAGAGGGAACTTAAGATGGGGACATCCAGATCCAGGGGTGGGGTGGAAAGACAAAACAGCTTAAGGAGGTACATTTGCAGGGTTGCCACCAACACCCATCTTTCCTTGACCGCTGATCAGAAATAAAGGAGTGTCACAGCATTTGAGAAAATAAGATACTTTTTAATCTTATCATGGCTTTCCAAAAGTGTTCTGCATTCGACTAAAACCGGCTGTACGGCAGGGACATATTGAGCTAGTCCAGTTGTTTCTGAAACCGGTCCGTCCTTCAGAGCAGCCGCTACAGATTCTAGGCACGCACAGAAGGCGATGCTCTCGCGTTCCACCAAAGACATTGACACGGCTGTCCTTATGGAGGAGAAAAGCCGATCTCTCCGTTTCTCTTGCGGGCAAGAGTTTGCTACCGTTTCTTCTTGACCTTCCAAAGAATGAAGGAGGCCATCTCTACTTCTCCCTCCTGTAAGGATTTAAATGAATATCATTTGGGGGAGGGGGAAAAAGAAAACCGATCAGATTCTCACATTGGAATTCCCTGGCCATCCCCTTCCCTCTGGTGGCTTCTCGTGTGTGTGTGTGTGTGTCCGTGTCCGACTCAGGTCATCTCCACCATCCCCTTTCCTCTGGTTGCTTCTCTCGTGTGTGTGTGTGTTTGTCTGTGTGTGTGTCCCTGACTCAGGTCATCTCCGGCTTCTGCTGCCTCAGAGCTTGCAGGAAGATCTCCTTCACCCGGCCCACGGTTTCCTGGAACACCTGGAAGTCCTCCTCTTTGGCCGCGGCCAGGTCCCGCAAGGCGCTCCTCAGGCCTTCGTTCTCCTCCGTCTGGATTTCAAGCCTACGTGGACAAAAGCAACCCACCTGAAGCCTCACCTGCCAATGCACCTGAGCACAAGAACAGCACACACTCGCCGAAGTCCTCGTAGGCAAAGCTGTTTCTCCCGCCCAGTTCACGAGAAGTCTGTTTTCATTTATAGGTTGAAACCAAGTTTCTAGTCCTCATTTTTTTGGTGGAGAGGGCTGAGAAAAAGTACAGAAGGTCCCTAAAGAAGCGTCTCAAACTAGTGACAGACGTGAGCCTCTGACCCTGTTAGCAAGAATCTCTTCCTTTCCCCCCGCGGTCAGAAGCTCACAAGCAGAAGCCTACACAGCAACAGCTTTCCCCACGGCGGCTTGTCAAAGCATCTGAACATTTATTTATTTAAAGTATTTTTAACCCCACCTTACTCCTTCTTACCTTCAATGATGGCAGACCTCATAATTTATTTATTTATTTTATTAGATTTATACCCCGCCCGTCGAGACAGATAGTCTACTCCCGGCAGCATTACGAAATTTTTTAAAAAAACACACAATAGAACCAAGGAACATGCAAAAATCCCAAGATGTAAAAATGTAAATATTAAGATATAGCAGGAGGGAAAGCCTGCCTAAATAGCCATGTCTTAAGTTTACTTCTAAAGACACCCAGAGAGGGAGCCAGGCGGATTAAAAGACAGTATATAAAGCTAAAAAGAGTAAGTATACAAATATGAAAAGAGCGAACGAATACCGTTCGAAAGCTAAAAAGAGTAAGTATACAAAATATGAAAAAGGAGCGAACGAATACTGTTCTGAGAAATGGTAGACCAAAGTAATGCTAAAAACACATTTAAAGCAGTAATGCATAGCATCCATCTGTTTGGTGGGGACACAGGAGAGAGCCTTCTCTGTGGCGGCTCCCAGGCTGTGGAACTCCCTCCCACTGGATGCCAGCCTGGCCCCTTCTTGGCTGTCCTCCCTCAAGCAGATAAAAGGCCTTTCTCTTCAGGCAAACTTTTCTTTTGTTATCGACTGTCTGAGAGAGCTTTTTAAAAAACAGACAGTTGAGCCCTGTTGCTTTGAATATGTTTTTGGTGTTGACTTTGTTCCCCATTTTTAGTGTGGTATTTATCTGATTCTTTTTTACATCGGCGCGCTGACTGCTTTTAGCTTTTTAAATGTTGTCTTTTCGTGACATAAGCCACTTTGGTTCCTTTTTAAAGAGAACGGCAGGGTAAACCCTATTTTAAATTTGAAATGAGTGGAATAAACAAACAGCAAGAAAGCACTGCAGCCTTATAGTAACGGCATGTTTCTGTTGCCGCAGTGCTTCAGAAAACACGTCTGGAGCCGATGTCCTAAGAAGCTCAGAAGAGCCCTGCTGGATCAGGCCAACATTGGAGGCATTCAAGAAAAACTTGGATAATCACCTGGCAGGTATGCTTGGATGGCATTCCTGCCTCGAGCAGCGGGTTGGACTTGATGGCCTTAGAGGCCCCCTTCCCACTTCACTTTTCTATGATTCTAAGGGTCCATCTAGTCCAGCTTCCTGGATCTCACCGGGGCCCCACCAGATGCCTCTGGGAGCCCACGAGACAACGAGAGACCTATCTCCTGATCCCCCTCCCCTGCATCTGGCCTTTGGAGGTACTTCCCTTTTAAGCCTGGAGATTATACATCCCCATCACGGCTTGTACCACGGACACAGTTGAGTCTTCATGGCCAAACAAGGATTTGAATCTGGCTCTCCCCATGCCTTCTCTGACCCTCTGTCATGATGCCAATGTTCTCCTCCTGACCTCGGGGGCCCAGATGTGCTTGGATTTTGGCTCACAGCCACCCCTGCCGCAACGGCCGACGGTGAGAGAGTCCGAGGGCTGCAGTCCAGTGGCAATTGGAGGGTCCCTACAACGTCTTTCTGGTCCTGTGGGTTAAACCGCAGAAGCCTCTGGGCTGCAAGGTCGGAAGACCAGCAGTCATAATATTGAATCCATGCGATGGAGGGAGCTCCCGTCGCTTGTCCCGCCTCCTGCCAACCTAGCAGTTCGAAAGCATGTAAAAACGTGAGTAGATAAATAGGGACCACCTCGGTGGGAAGGTAACGGCATTCCGTGTCAAGTTGCGCTGGCCACGTGACCACGGAAAAGGTCTTTGGACAAACGCTGGCTCTACGGCTTGGAGACGGGGATGAGTCAGACACAACTGGACTCAATGTCAAGGGGAACCTTTACCTTCACCTTACCACTGCTTTCAAGGTTTCCTCTAAATCTCTGAGCTGGCTAGATAGCTCAGTGGTTTAGGTAGGCTGGGAATTCGTTTCTCCACTGTGCCTCCTGGGAGAAAAGCCAGCCTGGGTGGCCTTGGGGAAGCTGCACAGTCTTCCAGAAGAAGGGTTGCCACCATCAGCACTGATTTGATGGCACACAATGATGATTATTAAACTCTGAGGATTAGAAACGTGGTCATTCTCAAACCTAGAAGAAACCGCTCCTACCTTGCAGACAGTTCTTCTATTTGGGACTCCAGCGGGACTTCGGAGAGCTGTGGCGACCGACGGTCCTTCTTCTCTCCCACGTTCCCGCTCACCCTGGCGCTACCGGGAAGCTGGGCTGGAAACACAAGGCGCTCTTGTGAAAAAGCCACCCTCAACGCAGGATCCTGCCCACCTTCCAAGCCCTCTTGACCTTCTGCCCTCATAAACCGCTTTTCAAAACAACTGCTTGTTTCTGTATTGCCAAGTTCATGTTTGAGTCTCTCCGAGGACGTATAGTCTGACTTCCCGGGCTTTGCTGGTTCTAACCAATGGGAAGAAAAAAAAATGTCCCTGGGGTTACAGTGAAAGAATAATGCTTGTCTTCACTCCAGAACGACTGAACAAAGAATGCTGAGAGCTACATTTTTTTCTGCCATCTTAAATTAAAATACTGGAACTACAAAGGATTCTAATCCTATACCTGTGAGAACAGGCAATTATCCTGGTTCATTACGCCTGATCAGGGTCATCGTCTATATATTTCAAAGGCGGTCGTTCTATTAGTCTGTTGCAACAAACATAATCTTAGAGCACCTTAAGGAATAACAAGTCGTTCTTCTTTCTTTCTCTTTTCCTTTCCTCTCCTGGGTTTGAGCAACAGAAAGCCAGATGCAGGCTGAATATCAGAAAAAAACTTCCTAACTGTTAGAGCAGTACAACAATGGAACTCGTGACCTCAGGGGGAGGCGGTGAGCGCTCCAATGCTGGAGGCATTCCAAAGAAAACCGGACCACCCTTCTGTCAAGATTTGCTTTGACTTGGACTCCTGCATTCAGCAAGGGGTTGGACTTGATGGCCTTAGAAGGCCCCCTTCCAACTCCATTATTCCAGGATTCTATGTTTCCTTTTCTTATAAGCTTTCAAGGACTGTTGCATCTGGTAAGGTGGACTGCAATTCAGGAAAGCTTCCACCAAATAAATCCAGTCGTTTGCAAGGCGCTATAAGACGCTCTTGTTATTTTTATCACCGTAAGCCCTGCAGGGCAGTGTCGTAACAGATGGACAGGAGGTATGTCCATAGATGCCACCCGGTTAAAGGACCCCCAAAGTTCTTATCTCATCAAGGAGATGAGAATTTGAACACTGGCACAAACTGCTAGATAGCTCAAGGGTTTAGGTCTCTGGCTATGGAGCCAGAGGTTGGGAGTTCGATTCCCCACAATGTCTCCCCGACAGGGCAGGGTCTAGCCAGAGGTTGGGAGTTCGATTCCCCCAAAGAGTCCCTTCCAACTCTAAGAGGAGGATGGTGATATTTAGCAGCTGCTCGATTTGGCTTTATAGGCAACCAACATTCCTTGAATCCCAGACCAGGGGCTTCTCTATAAGAAACCATTAAGGCTCCTTGAGGGGGCTAAGCGCTAGGTTTTTGCAGATTTTTGCCTAGTTTTAAGAAGCTAAATCAAGCTTGTCCTTTATGTTGAGCCTAAATTCATAGACTTTCGGTGGTACCGTATCATGCTGGGAGTGTGGGCAACGGACGGTCTAGTCTACATTACCTGTTTTGGACTTTGAGTGGGCTTTTGACAGGCCGGTATTCTTCCCCAACTCTGTCTTCAGTTTTTCAACTTGCTTCTCTAGAGCGAGGCACCGGCGCTGCTCTTCCTGAAACATCTTCTCTGTTTCCCAGACCTTCGAAGTGCTTTCGTCCACCCTGAGAAGCAGGATTTGGGATAGTTTTATTTATATATATATATAATCCCTTCCTTTCCCTTGAAAAGGACTTAAGGCAGCTCACAACCTTGAAAGACAGTATTTAAAGATTTTTTTTAAAAGGAGGAGATAAGCTTAAAAAAGGTATTTTACGTCATTAAAAGGCAATAGTAAAGCTAGGAAAATGTCAATTACAAATATCACAAATGTAAAAGAGAAAAGGGACAAAAATTGTCACTCTGAGAAATGGAAAACCCAAAAAATGGAAAACACAATAACAATCTCTTTAAAAATCACACACAGGTCGCTGGTTACTGAGAAAAGGCTTGCCTGAAGAGACAGGTCGTTCTTTTGGAAGGATGGTAAAGATGCAGCCAGGCTGGCCTCCAGTGGGAGGGAGTTCCACAGTCTTAAGAGCACCAGATCTGACTCCTTTAAATAAGAATTACAAAGACGGGGCCAGGCGGGACTCCAGTGGGAGGGAGTTCCACAGTCTCTGGAATCAGTTCTGTCCTGTGCCTCCATCAGAGGTGCCTATGATGGTGGCAGGACAAAGAGAAAGGCCTCAGCTGATGATCTTAACAGCCAGGCAGGCTCTTAAAGGGAGATGTGGTCCTTGAGGTAGCTATCCCACTACAAATACCCTATAAGCTTGGCTAGCTGCCTTATGGGGAAACCTATACTTCGTTTCCCCAAGTTCTACGCTGATGGTCAAGAGCTTTCCAGAATCCTCGGTTCGGGCTTTTCCCCACCAATATCTGGGGAAGCTAAAGAAACAAACCTGGGAGGACCTTCTACACGCAGAACAAGTGCTCGGCTTACCCGAACGATGCCCTCTTGGGTCCCCCAGTTAACGGGCGACGAAGACCGAGAGGGAAGAGGGGGGCTTAATAGCTCACGGGGTTTCAAAAGGCAGGAAGAACTTGGGGAAACAGGAAAGGAGGGGCCTGTCTGAAAACCCCAGGAACCCTCTCACCTCTTCTGTAGGACGGTGACCAGTTCGATCAGCCGGTCACGTTCGACTTCAGCCGCCTGGCAAAGAGCCTTCAGCTCGGTCATCTGGATGCTTCGGGCTTTGGCGTCAGGATCATCTGGCTCAGCCACCCTGAAATGGAGAGGGAGCAGAAGAAACAGGCGGATTGGCATCTTTTTCTAAAATCCCCACTGAGCAACGTTTGCAACCTGTTTTTTTTTTTAAGCCGTCAAAGCTTGGGGCCACGGCCACGTCTGGTGGCAGCTAAGCTCACCGATTAGTTTTGTGGCGGTATGAAGTGACAGCTGAACCATGCTTAGGTGGCGGCTTCTGGGTGGGTGGGGGGCTTGGTAGAGCTCAAAACAAGGGGTGTGTGTGTGTTGTTGGATAGAAAGAATCCCCTTAGCACCTGAAACAAAACCAGCTCAAGTCCTGTGAACCATTTAAGGCGGCTTGCAAGTTTTGTCTTTGACAGTGGCCTCCATCCAAACCAGTTACCCTGCTTGCGGGAGCAGAGGGGCGCGTCCCCCCGCCCTCCGCTGCCTCTACGGGGGCCACCTCGGTTCCCTCGGAGATTGATTGAGTGACGGCTGGCCATTCGAACCCCACCTGGTCCCACACACTCCGGGGAGCCTGCAGCGAGGATTGGCAGCCTTTGCCTCCCCTAGATCTATTGTGCAAGGGATCCGGTAACCTTTGGAGCAGGAGAGGGAGCCCCAGACCAAGCCGGGGGGTGGTGGTGGTGGTGTCGTTTCAGCCACGGGTCTCTGACACAGAAAGAGAGCGAGCGAGCGAGCGAGCGAGCGCACAAACCTCTCAGGAGAGACAGGGTCTCTGACACAGAAAGAGAGCGAGCGAGCAAGAGAGCGCACAAACCTCTCAGGAGAGACACTGAATGGAACCGATGGAGCTGCAGAATCCACGAGGGTGTGCCCCATCTTGGAGACGGTTCTGGAAAAGACGAAAACCTTGTCAGCGTTTCTACAGGAGTCTGTCTAGGAAATTGCCTGCCCCTCTCCGGGTTTATTAACTGCCACTTATCTGGCGACAAGCTAATGCACGCTTCCCTTAATGACAGTCTGCAGGAGTGGTGTTTTTTTTTTAAAAAAAACAGAGGGTTGTGCCTTATTGCTCTGAATATGTTTTTTGCTGTTGCTGCTTTTTTACCCTCTTTTAGTGTGTGGTCTGATCTTTTTTAGTATTGGTATACTTCTTGTTTTTTAGCTTTCAATATTGTCTCTTAATGAGGTAAGCCACCTCGGGTCATTCTTAAGGAGAAAGGGGGGGGGCTAAAAAATATACTGAACGAACGAACCAACCCATGATCTAGTATTCAAACAAAATGAACGGCGCCCTGATGTGAAATCTGGGCCCAGACGCTTCAAACTATTTCCTGGTTTTGCCGCACACCTGAGGTGCCAGCAAATGCCAAGCTGTAACTTTTAACTCTCCTTTGTAAAATAATAATAATAATAATAATTCCGTGTACAATGAAAAATGGCTGGCGTCCTTCTTCCTGACGTTTCTGTTCTCTGTGAGCGAAGAATTCGCTTACATGCAGAAATATTCAGTCATGGGGGTGGTTTCCACTTGGAGCAAGTTCGGTCAGGCAAAAAGCAAAGGGCCAAGTTAAAATAATAGCTAAATTAGCTGTAAAGGTATCTATGGGGAAGTCAACCCCACGAGTGCCCTCTTGTGCATGCTCACCTCTGCTCAGTGGAAACGGACAGCTGTTCCCGTCACCTGAAATGGGACAATCTTTCCAAGGTCAAACTAGACATTATGAAGAATGCATCTCCCTGCTATTAGAATTTTTTTTCTTTCTTGCCACAGGGTTTGCAAGAGGGCTAAAGGGAAGCGATGCTGTTGGGAACGAAGAGCTGAGGATAATCACGTTGCTACAATGCAAACTGACACGGCCGTCCCTTGGGAAGGTCAGGGCCCAAGACCGATTTAATGGGCAAACGGGTTGAAAAGCTTGCCCCCAAAATCAAGTTTGCCAAGGTGTCACAACACGCCTGTCGTCGTTTTTTCTTCTAAATACATGGCCATCATACTGTCTGATCCAATAAAAATCCAACAAATAAATAAAAAAGCTTGCCCCCAAAATCAAGTTTGCCAGCCCTCAAGGTGTCACAACATGCCTGTCATCATTTTTTTCTTCTAAATACGTGGCTATCGTGCTGTCTGATCCAATAAAAATCCAATAAACAAACAAACAAACAAACAAACAAACAAACAAACAAATCCAATGTGAAAAGAAATCAAGAAAGGGTTTCAAACTTTCATGGTTGAACATCTCTGTCAAGCTGGGAGAAAATAACTATAAACTGGAGAGTAGAGAGAGAACCGTTTCTGGTTTCGCTTGATGCAGGGAAAAATTCCACATGCCCTCGCAACCAAACTCGGATCACTGAATAAAAATATATTATGTCAGGGGGGATCCCTCGATATCCCAAAGCTGTTCCAAAGTTATTGATCAGATCCAGGACTAAAAACTCTGTTATCGAAACAAAGGACCACTCTCACCCATCTAGGCAGATGCTACTTCTTTCTCCCCTAGCAAGGCTCCTGTATCGCCCAAAGGACAGAAATCCAACAGGCTCCGTTGCCAATTGTACACAAACACACACAAAAAGAGCACCTGTTGAACTTCTGCCTGCTGTCCAAGCTGATCATGCCACAGAATCTCAGTTCGGGAAGATGTAACAATGAGCTAGCTTGCCTGTAAAAGCAATCCCCGGTAAGATGTTTCGCTGGAGATGAGATACTAGGATCACTTACGCGAAACAGAATCCTTAAGTGAAGGCCTGTCCGATTTGAATGCATGATCTAAATAAATGGGACGGTCCCGTTGCTCAAACCAAATGACGTTTCATTTTACCTGACCTCCAACCTTTAATAAACAAGGCCAGTAAAAGGCTGTCCATCACCCCAGAACGTTCCGGTGGCTTTGGAGAAACGTCTCCCTGTTCAACAGTTAACGTGGGATGAGCGAGTTTCACGGCTCTCTTAAAACTCTAGTAGAACTCGGTATTTTTAAAAGACTGTCTTCTCACCGGCCAGAGCTGTTCCTTCCACTGAGGCCATGTTTCTTGGGAGCCGAAAGGCAATCCTCCCCTTCCAGAGACTCTGCAGAAATGGAGTCAGAGCTGCTGTCCTCAGTTTGAGGAAGACGATGCTGTTTTTTTAAAAAAAGGAACAGGTATAACAGGACTAAGACATCAAAGGAAGAACACCTGCCCCCGCGCAACACAATCCGTGTGTTTCTTCTTGTTATTCACACTGCCTTCTCGACATTTCCCCCTGAAGGCGTGCCTGATTCCGAGGAAGGGGCTCTGTCCCCAACGGAGCTCTTCAATGGCCTCATCCTGGCTCTGCGTACCTGCGTCGTGAGCTGCTCGATCCTCTTCTCCAGATCCTGCACCTGGGCTTCTCGCTCGGCCACCATCCGCTTCAGCTGTTCTATGAGGGAGTTTTGCTTCTGCGCCTCCAGGTTCAGCTGCTGGCCCAGACTCTGGCGACACTCCTTGCTCCGCTCGTCCTGCTGGCTCAGGTTCTTCAAGATGACCTGCATGTCCTTCAGCTGGCTCTGGCAAAGCAGGAAAAAAGGGACACGCCGGGCACCCTTGCGTGCATGCCGCTCCCAAAATGCATGCACAAGGGCGGCCCTTTCAGCCTAAAAGAGAGGGACTCCCTGCCATTCTCTGGAATGCCAGAGAAATGCAAGGTGCTGAACCCCCGGGTGGCAAAAGGGTACCTCTGGGTCCTCTTTGGGGCAGTGAAATCACAACACCTGTACAAACGTGATCAACGCAGTGACCGCCACAGGGTGCGAGGAAGGCCATGCCACGTGGCCTCAAATAACTCCAGCCAATTCTTTCCGCCAACACAGTGGTTGCCAAACTTTTTTGAGCCCTAGCTCCCTTGACTCCATCCCAGAGCCTCATCCCCGAAACCAGAAGTCCACCTCGGCCTCTTCTCTTCCTGAGCATGAGGGCATCCATCGCCAGACAGGGGCCCGTCTCGTCCCAGGGGTCTCTGCCTGAGCACCGCCGACGTCTTAGGCACGATCTCAGCCACAGCGCAAGGAGCCCCACCAGCCGATGGGATGGAGGGGGTGGCGAAGGAGGAGAGGATTCCACGGCATCCGTGGTGGAGTCTGGCAGCGCCCCGGGGCATCACGGCGCACCGTTTGGGAACCACTGAGCCAACACCATACCAAATGGTGAAAAATTTTAAAAGGCACCTGACCTAGAAACGGATAGCTTCCCCGGCCAACAAGTTTCCTTGGTGACTCAGGAATCCTGGAACCACAAGGGGTTCTGCATGACAAAAAGAACTACCATATTTTTCCTTGTATAAGACTACACCTTTGTCTAAAATTTTTAGACTAAAAATTGAGGGTTGTGTTACACACAGAAGCTGAGTACAAAAACAAGTGGAGAGGAAAGCGGGGATCAAATTGTTCCTGCAGGGCTTTGATCCCTGCTTTCCCCTTCACTTGGTAAGCCTTAGCAAAAGAAAAGCAGGGATCAAAGCGCTGCAGGATCGCTTTGATCCCTGCTTTCCCCCCTACATGCTAAGTCCCATGGGGACCAAAATATTTGGTCACAGAAAAACTTGTGACTGTTGATGAGTTGTGGGAAATCCACACACACACAAACACCTTTGCCACAGCTACTGTGGGGGAAATGGCATCTCTCTGTTAGAAAACATTTCCCCCACTACCTCCGTTTTGAAACCTCTGTCGCCTTCCTGGCACAAGCTGGCCTTCAGTTTCTCAAACGGAGACTTGGGAGCATCGCTCCTCTTTCAGAGACGAAGCCTGCGCTTTCTTCAGCATGCAGCTTCCACACACACACACCCGACAAACCCAGTTTCTGTCGTGAGCCTAACCCATCCGCTTTCCATAGATGTTATCTCTAATAACAAGAATCTTAGAACGGCAAAGGCTGGAAGGGACCCTTGGGATCATCTAGTCCAGCCCCGGTCAAGGAGGCCCCCGTGGGGGGAATCTAACTCCCAACCTCTGGCTCTGCAGCCAAAGACGGAAACCACTGAGCTATCCAGCCCAGCTCAGCACTGAAGTGTAGGAGTGTTTGGTCATCATCACCCTCCCCAGTGTAATCCGGTCAAGGAGGCCCCCGTGGGGGGAATCTAACTCCCAGCCTTGAGCTCCTCAGCCGAAGACGGAAACCACTCAGCTATCCAGCCCAGCTCAGCACCGAAGCGTAGGAGTATTTGCTCATCATCGCCCTCCCCAGTGTAACAGGCAAATCTCATTAGGCGCATCATACCAACAAGGCATCAATGAGTTCATCGTCATGTTTTCCTTTATAGGCCCCCGTGGGGGGAATCTAACTCCCAGCCTTGAGCTCCTCAGCCGAAGACGGAAACCACTCAGCTATCCAGCCCAGCTCAGCACCGAAGCGTAGGAGTATTTGCTCATCATCGCCCTCCCCAGTGTAACAGGCAAATCTCATTAGGCGCATCATACCAACAAGGCATCAATGAGTTCATCGTCATGTTTTCCTTTATCCAGCAAGGTGGAGATCTGTTCCTTCAGCGTCTTCACCTCGCTGGACAAGACTTGGTTTCTGGCTTTGGCCCCATCCAACTTCTTTTTCACGTCTTCGTGATCCTTCTGGAGGGCGCTGTACTCCCCCGTAAGCTTCTGCGGTTAAGGCGACACAAAAACAGGGTCTCTGGGTAACCAGACGTAAAAGCAACTAGCGGTGAATGAGTGAGTGGCACACGCATTTGATTTACTGATGGCAAAACCCTTGAGTTTTACATTTATATGGGGAGTATGGCTATGGATTGCATTTCCAAAGCACCTTCTGGCCCTTTTCTTTTAACCCACAGCAGCTCCATCACCCAAGGGGAAGAGTCCTTTAGCTCCATCTCTACCTCTTTTAATCTCAAGAATACACTCCCAGAAGCTGCTTTTCACGGCTGAAAAAAAAACATGAAGAGGGTTCTGCTCAGCTAGAAAGGAATGACTTAAACCCCATCTCTTTAACTAGAGCCTGCCCACACTGGTCTATAGTTATGGTATATGGTTCCCTGGTAGCATGGGAAAAAAGACCTTGTCCACTTCTGTTTCTATTTAGAACGACTCGCCCTTCCCCTTTAAGAGCTGTCCCATATCTTTCTGGCTCAGGGCTAGGGCATGCAATCTTTTTGGGCTGATTCTCTGAGATGCCAAAGACCTCTTTGTTCTGCCTTTGTGGCTGGGGACCAAGAGTTAAAATTAGAGATGGGGTTTTTTGTATACGAATACCCCCGCACAGGTGGCATGGGGCCGGGCGGTCCACTCATTGATCTGCCGCGGACCGTGCGATTCTACTAACGGCTCCGTGGCGTGCGATCCGTTCGCCACGCTTTGACCTGGCAGCAAGGCTTGTCCTTCCACATCCTGCCAGGAGGGGCGAGCGGATCGCGCGCCACGGATCCACTGGTAGAATCGCACCATCATCTACGAATACCCCCATCTTTAGTTAAAATAGATTGAACTGGAGATAACGACCTTTGAAGCACTGGCCGGAAGAGCACCACGTTTCATAGTCTGGACTGGCCCGACGTCACCATCCGCCCCCTGATGCTTTGACTTGAACAAACCCCTCATAGGAAGGTAGAATAGAACACGGTTGTTTAAGATGCTCAATGTAAATCTAAAATGTTGAAAGACCTGTTGTTTAAGCTGTGGAATGTAAGGTATGAGGTCATGGCCTTATTTGCAGGTCAGTATAACTTACAATACACCAAGCTGATTCAAGCCCTACCCTTAAAATAAGCTGCAGTGAAGTGAAACCCCACCTTCCACCCTTGTGCAGCCACCAGAAGAAAAGGACAGGACTGTCTTTGAATAAATGTAGATGGTTGTACAGTGGTACCTCGCAAAACAATTACCCCACATAACAACAAATCCCCATGATGAGGTTTTGCGACCGCCATTGCGCTTTGCAAAACACTGTTTCCTATGGGGGAATTTCGTGATACAACATTTCGGTCCGACGACGATTCTAACAGCTGATTGGCGGCTCTGCAAAATGGCTCCCTAGGGTGTTTTTGGATCTATGCTTCTCAAGACAGCAATTTAAAAGGGCTTGCCTATGGGCGATTTTCGCTGGACAACGACTATTTCCCCCAATGCATTCCAATGGGGAAACACTTATCACAAGACAATTATTTCGCTAAACAGCGATTTCAATGGAACGCATTATCATCGTCTTACGGGGCACCACTGTACATGACATCAAAATCCCCTGAAAATAGGCCCTAATGCATTTTTGGAGCAAAAATTAATATAAGACCCTGTCTTATTTTCAGAGAAACGCGGTAAACATTGTGTAGTTCTTCTGCATTCATGATTTTGGTCTTCTTCATGTTCAACTGCAGTCTTGCTTTGGCATTTTCTTCTTTCAAAGTCATTTCAAGCCGGCCTCAGACCCACCCTTATGAAAAGGACAAGTTGCGTTCCCAAGCCTTTCCTTCCTTACCTCCACGGCTTCCTTCTT